ATACTAGAAGGAATTGTCCTAATATATAGCTATATATTCAGCTACTAGATAGTCAAGTCTAATGATGTTGGTGGTTGAAAAGCTTCAAAATATTATTAGAAGCGGCAAAAATTCGTCGCTCGGTGGTTGATTACGTTAGTGTATCTTGCTTACTAAAGACCAGCAGCTCGATCTTAGGCAAGGGACTTCTAGGAAAGGCTCAATCCTCGGTTGACCATGCAAATGTCACCCAACATGGGATGATTTTATTGTCTGAATATTCAGCTTCTCAATATTGCCTCTCATAGTTCATGTGCTAGCATCAAAACATGACACCTAGTCATTGGCATGATGATCAGGCCAGATACGCGCAGCAGATAAGTACAACGGGGATGCAGTCCTTCAGAAAACAGGGAACGCGATTGCCTAAGTTCTGCGAGGCTTGCCAATCGTTTCCTCAACGGTCTAACCGAATCAACCCCCTGTCCATCACTATGTTAGTACTGGCTACTATGATCTATCGATCCAGCGGCAGTGCGGCATCTGCGCCGGGCCTTCCGGGAATGCAAATTCCCCGCGTTTTCCCCTTTGCTCCAAACGGAGTTGAGAGAAAGTTCAAAGTTGGGCTGAAAGTTGCTACAATTCTACATATTGACTCGCTTAATTCATTTGAGTTGTACTAATCATCAAGCTGTTGATCTCTCCCAAAATAGTTCTCTACATGGCGACATGAAAACTGATTGCACACTTGCAGTACGCTGAACTTCACAATTTTCTGTCGGGTAGCGAAACTTGCGTTGATGAGGTCATCGCGTCCTTGATGAGCCCCTTTCGTGCTTATTGAGCGAACAGATGCTTGATGTGACCCCTACCCCCGAGTCTTGGGGATCGTCGCGGATACTCCATTTGTTCTTGCATGGCACCGTCCTCACCTGTGTTCGGTCTTCGGCCACTTCAAAATAGCGATACGACCACTCGATCATTGTGACCCAAGTTCCAACTCAAGCTGTGCCCTGTTGATCATGAAGCTAGATGTCAGCAAACTTCTAATACTCCGCGCCCGATATTCTGCAACGATTTTTTGCAGCCATTGACATGCCCCTCTTGTGATTGCGCGGTATCTATTATCGAGGAGGTTTGCACCACCATCTGCAGAATGACTGTGACCAAGAAAAGATCGACACTAAAGCTCGAAGATATCAACACTACTTTGTGGCCGAGGGTGTTCATTTGCCTAGTCGTTCACATCGTGGCCTCTCGCATTGCTTTCTGAAAATGGATCCGCTCACTATAGACAACAGGTCTTCCATTACCCAGTTTTTGTAATAGATGTCCCCCTGTACTTTCTAAGACCGAGCCCCTCTCCAGGCTCCTCTGTCCATAAACGAGTATAAATACATGAATCATTGTGCGTTGTCTGCCATGATGCTTCCCCAAGAGGCTGCAAGTTGCGTTTGGGTGTTCTATAAGTTGTTTTAAGCCGACGATTCCACCATCATGTCTCTAGGTCAACCATGGCGCACAGCTGTAGCATTATCCATGGTGGCTCTTGCTCGCCTTGCGGCGGCAGATATCTGCTCGGCGATCAAGCAAGAGGGCATAGAGATTGAAAACCCGCTGAGTCTCGACTACAACACGGACCTGACAAAGTATTGGTCTGCTGCATGTGGAGACCTAAAGCCGACATGTATTGCTGCTCCTTCGAGCGCTTTGGAGATGTCGGCAATTGTGAAGCAACTGCACAATTTTGACGGCCTCTTTGCCGTGAAGTCGGGCGGACATATGCCCAACAATGGCTTCGCCAGCATTCAAGATGGACTTCTCATCTCGACCAAGAATCTTGATCAAGTTATCTACAACCCCGAAGACCAGACTGCTATCATCGGTCCTGGACTTTCGTGGGAAGATGCTCAGAAAGGTCTTGATGGTACTGGTCGGGCACTCGTCGGTGGACGTCTTGGTGGCGTAGGCGTCGGAGGATATATGCTCGGAGGCAAGTTGCAGCCCCTTTGCGATGGTTGTCATTTCACTTATTCGGCTAGGCGGTTTGAGCTTTCTCAGTTCGCAGTATGGCTGGGCAGCCAACAACGTGGTCAACTTTGAAGTGGTTCTCGCCAACGGAACCGTGGTCAATGCCAACGCGAAGGAAAATACTGGTAAATTGAGCAGAATGGTGCATGCACCATTGAGTCCCTTTCAAACTGACTAGCAGGTAGATCTCTTCGCGGCTCTCAAGGGAGGCGGTAACAACTTTGGCATTGTTACCGCATACACTCTTCAGACACATCCTCAAGACCATAAGGTAAACCGTGTTCATTTATGATTGTGTGGGGAGTATCTAAATAGCACAGGTATGGGGAGGAAACTATGTCTTTACCGCCGATAAGACGCCCCAAGTCTTGAGCGCTCTTCGTGACTTCACCGAGCATTATCCCGATGACAAGGCCGCCATCATTGTGACTTGTGAGCATGGCTTGTTGATTCATACTTGGATCATGTTCCTCTTCTACGACGGGCCTGAGCCACCAGAGGGCGTTTTTACCAACTTTACGGCGATTGGACCTACCGATACTACCAAAACCTGGGATAGCTACTATGACTTGGTTAGTAACCTTGCCCTCGGTCAATTGGAGTAGATTATCTCACATTGAAACAGCTTAAAAACAACGATTTCTTCATTCTGCAGTAAGTATGATCTTCTTGGTCTTCGTGTCGGCTACTGACTTTGCCTGCAGTGGCCAACGGTACACTATTGCTACCGAGACCACTCCCTTGCCGAACAAGACTGTCGGCGCGGAGGTCATGCAAACATACTACGACCACTGGTTTAATGTGGCGAACACTGTGCTTGAAGTGCCCAACATGCTCGGATCAATCGCATTCCAGCCAATGCCTCGAACTATCACCAGGAAAGCCAAGGCTAGAGGAGGAGTAAGTCCTGAAAGCATTCAGACCATGTAAAATATGCGTTAACAAACCGGAAGGATCTGCTCGACTTCCCCACAGATCAAGACTATATCGTCATTGAGCTCGACTTCTCCTATGCTTTCGCTGCAGACGATGCCAAGATTGATGCTGCCAATCAAAATCTCTACGGGGGCTTTGATAACATCATCAGCGACAACATTGACAAGGGACTCTTGCCTGATGTTTACCGACCACTCTTCATGAACGATGCCTACTTCCGACAGGACTACTGGGGTCGTATCCGCACCAAGGAGCAGGCATTGCAAACTAGGATCAGATATGATCCAGATGAATTCTTCCAGAAGAGAACTAGTGGAGGATTCAGGCTTCATTAACGGTATGCTACATTTGGATTGATCTTGGATCATTATTTCGTATATATAGCTTGGATTTAGAGCTTGTCAAGCTTGATATCTTGGAGACGAGGGCTCTGCTTTCTCTAATAAGATGCATCATCAAGCTTCCACACTATGGATCGCCATCGACATCCCAATGCCGCCTTCCTCAGGCATCGATATATATACTGCTCTTTCAGGAATCAATCTGTCAATCAGAGCCGGGGCGGTAGTGCAGCGATCCCGTTCTGCGCAGATCCTCTTAGAGAATTCTGCCTCTGCTCTTTAAGGTATGCACCTTTCATCGTAGGTAGCTGCACACCCAAGGGCTCAATTCGAATCAAACAGCCCTCGCCACCATTTACCGGCTTGAGGAGACTGGGCGAAATCGACTGGGAGGCAGGCAGTGCCTTCGCGTTTCGTTTTGCTTCTTTCACTCCTTTTTTCTTCTTCTCTCTATGATATTTCTTCTGCCGTTGTTTATACCCGCCGTACTTTTGGACAATAAAAATAGATCCTACGCCTTGTTCAAGCATATACAGTACCTCGTCGCTATGAAAGAGCTCAGTCAAGCTCCTCCCAACACATCGATTTGATTGGCTTCTAAATAATGCTGAGTCAAGCTATGAAACGAGACATCTCCATCCCAGCCTCACAATTCATCCTCCAAGAGCCTCAGAAAATCCTCCCCTTGTCATGTATCAGGTTGAATTAAGCTCACCCGGCTGTTGGCTGAGATTTCCCCGGCGGAAGACAAAACCCTTTCTCCAAGCGCCGGGGTGGAGAACAGAGCGTATACATCCCACCCCATCCTGCCGTCGACTTTTGCATCCCAAATCTAGAGCTGAAAAGCTAGAGTCGCAACGGAGGCTTGCACTTTGCCGCTTGATTTCATGATCTCGTATATTACAACCAGTGGTCTAGAGCTGTGAAGACAACGAGTAATACTCTGGGCGCTTGTACGGATCGGCGCTTTTGACGCCTCGCGCATGGGGAAACCGTCCATCTGGGACATTGGGACATGGTCTAGAATCTTGGATATGCTAAATTTATTCTTGGATGATGGTGTGTTGAGCCTTTGATGTTGGCGATGCTTTGTTTCGGTGAAGGCAGTGTTGTTATAAAAGGGTCATTGTCCACCATGGGGTGGATGGAGATATCATATCAGCTCTTTGTCTTGCGTTGCATCGTATCTTCAATTTACATTCCTTTGAAAATTTCATATTTGGCTTTGGGTTCTATATTATACATTCATTCCGCGACTGGTCGTTTTCTCCCATCTTGACAGATATCCACTACAATAGTTACAGACCACACTCCTTCGACATCATAGACACATAACGTTTGTTCAATCCCATACAAAGTCAGCATGGCCAAATACGGCGCACTAGGCGCAACCTTCCAAATCGCCCGGATCGTCCAAGCCTGCTCCCTCATCGCCATCATAGGCCTAACGGCCAATTTCATCGCCGAGATCGTCTCTAAGAACGCAACGCCGCCGAGCGTCTTCATCGGCACAATCACCGTGGTACGTTATCGCCCATAACCACATTCCCCATTCCGCAGAGCTAACAGAGGCCGGCTAGACCTGCATAGCCGTCATCTACTGCGTCATCTCCTTCATTCTCTTCCTGGATGACATCCTCCCCTTCCTCGCGAGTGCCGTCATGGACGCACTGGTGCTTGTCGCCGTCATCGTCGTGGCGGTCATCATCGGGAAACCACTCTCATACCTGAAGTGCGATGTGATCGGGGATTTGACGGGTGATGGATCGTCTGCGTATGCCTTTGCCACGAGTCTGGATAACTATCTGGACCATCTGGGCGGGAAGGTCAATTACAAGAACTGGATTGCGGCGTCTAGGGGCGTCTGTCTGGAGGCGAAGTCGATTTGGGGGTTGAGTATTGCTTTATGGTGAGTTTCTCTCTTCTCTTCCCCACCCCCTCGCGCCCCGTTTTCCGAAGAGATCAAGCTGATGGATGTACGCCGTAGTATTTTGTTCTTCTTTTCGGCGGTCTGCTGTGTCTGTCTCTGGCGGCAGAAGAAGGCGACTGGCGCTGAGAAGGTGGATGGATGAAGGCCTCTTGCTTTCGCCATGGGGTATAAGGAGTTATGAACCTCAACGAGGACAAAGACGGCGGTATGATCTGGTTGGAAATAATGGCTAATATGATTGATGGGTCTTCTGTTCTTTCTGTTCCTGACTTATGTACTGAATCTGTTGCATGGCTTACCAGCCCTAATATCAATGAAGTATCTGCCTGTTACATTGTATATCAGCATCATCGTCAAGACCCAGAGACCAAGGACATACCTTCACCCTCCATTCAAGCGCACAACCACTCGAAAGCACCCTGGGGTATCTCACTTCCCAACCAGCCATCACATCCTCTCGCTTGACCCTAAAAACAAAGGCATCACCCCGAACTAACGGGCGGAATGATCGCAACCTCGTCTCCAGCCCCAATCACCACCTCCCTATCCGCCTCAACATCCACATACTCCTCTCCCAGACTCACCCCACAGCTAACCAGCACCTTGTCCCTGATACCGGGGTATCGTTCCTCCAGGACATCGAAAAGCCTGGACAGTGGAAGAGGGGCAGGAAGCGTCTCGGTTGCTTTGTTTGTGTAGGATGATGCGCTGGAGAAGTAGTGGATCTGGAAGGTTGGTTGTGCGTCTTGGGCGGTCATCCTGGGAGGGTTGTGCTGTGTTGCTGAGGTGGATTGGTTTTCTCGGGGAGGTATGGGGTGAGATGGCAGGTAAATACTCGCTGGAATTGTCGGTCAAGAAGTGAGTGAAACGGATTGATCCTCTTTTGCTCTATTTCTGCAGTTGTGATGACTGCATACAAAGTGATGAAGGGAAGATTGGAGATGAAGTGGTGCGGGGTAACTCTTATCGCGACTCCACATCTCAGCATCACCAAGCATGTACCTAGATCTGAGAGAGTTGGCAGCCAAAGGTTTATAGACAAGAAATACACGGATAGTGATGGTGTGCAGGCTTCTATATCAGTTGATTCTTACAAGAATGTGGTGTAAATACAGTCTCATCGTTGGGTCATATACTTAGACTATCGGCAACCTAGTCTCAGTCAGAGCCCTGAAAGCACCGACAAGATCTCTCTTGAGATCCTCCCAGTTCTCCAACCCGATACTGATCCGAAGCAATCGACGATCCACCGTCGCATCGGTCATTGTCCGCCACTCGATCAATGTCTCCACCCCTCCAAGACTGGTAGCATGCTGGAAGAATGAAAGCTTGCTGGGCAGCTTCCGCGCATAATCTTCCTCCTTCATAGTGATGGAGAAAACAGGCCCGAAACCGTTGGGCATCTGTTTCAGCAGCCACTCCTCGTCCTCTTTCTGGAGACTCGCGTGGAAAACTTGCTCGAGAGCAGCCTGGGTGACGGCTTCATCGCTACCCGGTGCGGGATCCTGAACACGCAGTGCCTTGTCCAACCACGAGACCAAGTTTGTCGCGTTCGAGCTCTGGCGCTGGACGCGAATCTCGAGGGTGCGCAGACTGCGGACACCGAGCCAACTCTCCATGTTACCCATCACGCTGCCCAAGAATAATCGATCCTGGAAGAGTTTCTTCGCCCAATCCTTGCGCTGTGTTGCAAGGACACCGCAGAGAACATCACTGTGTCCGCCAAAGTATTTGGACCCGGAATGCATGACCAGATCGGCACCCCAGATGAAGGGGTCTTGTAGGCCTGGCGGTGCGAATGTGCTGTCGACAAGCAGATACGCGCCTCTGGAATGAGCCTTGTCCGCGTATTCTGCAATGTTGAAGGCAATTCCTTGCGGGTTTACCGGTGTCTCCAAGAGAATGACGTCTCCGGCCTCCAACTGCTCGGCGGGGCAGTTGAGATCTAGCTTCTGGAGCCCAGTCAGGCGGCCGAACATTTCGATCACACCGTGGCACCCATGGTAGGCATTACCGATGGCAATTCGCCGAGGATTCAGCAAAACAAGAGCGGCGTTCAGGGCGGATAGTCCCGAGGAATAGCTGATCGCTTCGCCGTTGAGGAGCGACGATAGAATGATTTCGAAACGGGTCGGATTGGGTGCGGAGAGACGTGAATAGACGTGACTGGTCTTCTCTCGATCATACTAGAGTACGAATTGACTTTGTCAAAACAAGGCCAAATTTGGACGGAAAGGATCAATCAAACTGCTGTGACATACGCCGCTGAGATCTGTGAGGGGTACCAGATCGTCCGGATTGTCAGAGTATCGGAAGGTCGTAGAGACATGCAGCGGTGGAGCAACATCAGTGACTACATTAAGCTCATCATCCGCATGTAGCGAGCGCGTAGAAGCGCCAATTGCTTGGTTGGAATGAGACATTTTGATGTTTCTTAATTACAGCATATTGAAATGAAGACAGAAAAGAAGACCGTCCGTCGCGCAGCGTCGGGGTCAATGCCGGACTGTCGGCTAACCCCACCAGACGGACTCACGTGATGTCAACGTGGGCCGGCTGCGGATCTGTATATTGCGTGATAGCCAGATAAGAGAACGAAGGAACCGGCCAATAATAGATGAAAAAGGGGTATATTGCGATAATGGCAACTGGTACGTCGGCTCAATAATGTACATATGGCGAAAGACTTCGTTAACCCATGAGTAATCGACCAAACGAGATCACCGCCGAAGAGAACCCATCTTTGATGGCTCACGGACTGTTCCCGGTACTGCGGCTTGGAAAGCTGATCGATCTATTGATATTGTTAGCGTCGAAACGCGACCCTGATACACATGAGAGAGCATACCAGCTTCGGAGTCAAAAGCAATCGTTATATCGTCATGTTCACTGGGATACTCTGGCATATCCAAACAAACAAAGTCCGAAGCGGGATCATCGTCGGTTTTCGGGAGCGCAAACTTGGCGTCAACAAGCCTAATACAGAATTTGCCCGATCTTCCAAAGCTTTCGAGTGTATCTGTACCCTTGAGTACAAAGTTCATGCACCTTCCATGGTTGAAAT